GCCAACGTTCTGATGTTGAGCTCCTGACGAGCGCCACCGTTTTTTCCAAAATAGCAGAGAAACTATATAAAGATGGAGCCAAGGTATCATTGTGGAGCCGTGTGGTTGAAAGTGTTGCAAATACACAGTCACCGCATGAAGTTACCAAATGACAGCTTTCCTTACACTTTCACAAAACTCCCCCCCCCCCCCCCCCCCCCCCTCTTTCTCCCCCTTCTCTCTCTCTTTTGTTTGACACGGATGAAAACGGAGATAAATACAATAAGTTATTCCTTTAGTTTTTAATAAATCCAAACCACAGTTTCTCAGCTTTGTCACCCACACCAGTATTCTCGGACCGGGCCGGGGCTGCGAGCCACACCGCTGTTGCGCAGCAGCTTGACACATCACACACACACACACACACATACACACACACGGCGGTACATCCACTCGTGGCGATTGCTCAACCTCCGCTTTCACGACCAAACACGAAGTCCGTGAACTCGTTGGAAAACGTGAATCCTAAACGTAAAAAACCGAGCAGCCGAAGCAGCGTCAAAAACGAACTCCCAGCTCCGTCTTCATTTCCGGACGTGGGTAAATATGCGCACAGTCGCCGCTAGAAATCCAACAGCGGGATTCGGATTTAGCCTTCAACCCCAAACCGCGGCGAATCCTCACAACCAGGGACATTTTTTTGGGGAGGGAATTTAAAAAAAAAAAAAGAAAGAAGAAAAAACAAGGAAAACTTTCAAAAGAAAGAAAAAGGAAGAGTTGAAATGTTGTTACCGCGTTCAGACAGAGAGAAAAAAGCCGCTCATCGTCGTCAGTGGACGTCGCTGCTCACACACCGACACACAGGAGCATTTCAACCCATTGCTTAAAAAAAAAAAGGAGGCGCAACTCGGCAGAAAAAGAAGTGTCCCACAAACTCGTACACCCCCGTTCTCCACCCTTACCTTAATAGTTCCGTCCATTTTGCGCAATTTTCAGCGGACCCCGACAATATCCCGAACATGACACGCTCCTGAATTAATTCCAGCCCCGGTATGTGGCGGAGAGAAAGAGACACTTTAGCGGATTGACTTTTTTCTTTCCTCTAAATTTGGGAAGTGAAGTCACCACTGTTGAGAAGGTTGAGAAGGAAGCTGTGTGTCACCGAAAGCCCTGCCTTCAAAAAAAAGCAGGATACTGTCCCGGAGAGATAAGCAGGGAAAACAATCGACTGTTCGCTCCGCTCTTATGTTTTTGTGCTCGGAAATATTTACAGGATGACTGGCCGCCTCGTGCACAGCCACTGCTGCATGTGCTGCTGCTGCTGCTGCTGCAGAATGCTGCTGCTGCTGCTGCTGCTGTGTTTGGGTTTGGGTTTTCCCACTGTAGTCACAGCTGCCGTGGGCATTTTTTAAATCATTGTGAAATATACCTGCGCACATTTGACTTAGTTTTGCTGGAATGTTTTTGTTTTTGTTTCTTTCCCGTCACAGGACGCACTGACTGATGTGTCGTAGAGCAGCCTCCACTCAGACATGCCCTCCATCCTTCTGTAAATCTCAGTTTTACTC